GGGGGGGTCAAACTCATTTTAGTGACGGGCCAATTTGGAATTACGTCTTCCCTCGGAGGGCAATGAAACCACAACATTATCACTTGTACACAACAAATTAATAGACGACTAGTTTTGAAATCAGTCAAGTCAATTATAATAGTTTGTTGAATTATTGCTCAAGTGAGTGTCAACAGGGTAACAATATCCGTCTTACTTGACAGGCGTTCGAGACTCCAGGGATGGCAGAATGATAGTGACTGTGGTCTCCGTGTCCCGGGTGTGATCGACCTCTGGGCGGCGGATGGCGATCGGAGGGGACGTTTTGGCGGTGATGCGGTGGCGAAGGCCGCCCATGTTGCCTTCGGGAGCGGTGATCTTGAAGTCGTAGCTGGTGTCGGGCTGAAGGTTTGGGATGACGGCCTTCTTCAGGCGAGCATCCACCTCCATCTTTTGCCGATTGTACTCCACCTTTGGGAGAGTTAGCGAAGTCAGCACGTATAATGGTGACAAGGATTATGATATCAAAACTCCTAATTAGTGGAACCCAGAGTTCAAAGCCAACATGGTGCATCAGCATTTAGTTGTTATGCGGCGTCCAAAAGGAATAAGCTGCCTACAGAACTGAAATGTGAATGCCATTACATGTTTTGTAACTGTGTGAAGCCCATTGATTTACCTTGTGTATGAAATGACCTATTTTAATAAAGTTGCCTGGCCTTGCCTTATTGAGAGACATTCAAAATTAATTAATTTGTCTCTCGCTGATGTTAAATCAAACTGGACAACGTTTTACCCCAACCGCAGTGGTTTTTTTTTTTTTTTTTTGGTCCATGTCTGCGTGTGTTGCCGCATTAGTCACTATCACCGCAGGGGCTTTCTCGTGCCAGATGAGCTAGCATAAATTCCGTCATTGTTGCTGGAGCAAGGTGCTGTATCAACGAAATATAGGTTTAACTTTTGACAATTCCACACTAAATTATTGTGAGAGCATTTTGCGTTTGTCAACAACATTTGAGGATACCAAAGTGAAATGGACGTATTAAAAACCTCAGGATAATTACAGGAATGATTCTTGAAGTTGTACTTTATGAACATTTACTTGGAAATGCAACAATACTCCTGTTGACAGTTTTCAGAGTTCATTACGAGACATTTTTACTTTTTGTGATATGGCTGGGAGAAATTAGATGGGTCTACTGCTCCGTAGTGAGGCACGCTGAGTCTATATTAAGATACTAAATTTGGTGTCTCACCCAAAGGGCTACATTGTAAAAAGTGGTCCCCGTTAGCTGGCTTGTGACTAATTTTGTCATTAAAAATATGTTGGTGCTCAAGATGACGGACGTACACTAAAGCGATACGGGTTGCTGCTTTCGGGAAACTCCCACGTCAGAAGAACACTCGTCCTCGTGGCCAGATTGACTGAAAAATTCCTTGGCACGTCTGAAAGAGAAGAAAATGGCATTCAGTGGAGGAGTTTGAGTTCAAGTAACAACTCTCTCTCTCCGGTGTGAACCTATGAAGAAAAAAAAAGTGTCAGTCAGGTGAGACGGAGTCGTTCAGAGGATGGACAGGTGATGAGGAGAGTGGATGGTGGTCGGAAAAGAGAAGACAGCGGTAGCAGAAGGAATGTGACATGCCACGTTCACCAAGTGTAAGGTTGTGTTTGTTCCACTTCCAAGTCGGCATGTCAGCAAGGGCTTTAGATAAAGTGGCGGCGGAGTTTATCAGATTGAACAAATGGCCGGGCCCCGAGTCTTCACTTCATTTCAACCGTCCACTTACCTTCTGGATTAGGTACTGTACCGTATATTGATGCCCTGTATTGACTTTTACCTGAGGGAATGTGATAAGCGGTGCTCTTGAAGCAAACAGCCATTAACATTCAGCCTTTTTCCATTGGTGAAGGGTTGGTGATGGAGGTAAGTGAGTGAGTGGAAGAGATTGAAGGGTTGCTCGCCCTCCTCCGACTTGTTTTCAGTATCTCTGAAGTACACGGCGAGGAGGGAGGGGTCAGGAGTGGGTGTGAGAGGGTGGGGTCAACCTATAAGAACCGGCCATTTTTTTTATATATATTTTTTTAGTTTAGTGTTTTTTGGCGTGACTTCCACAGCAGGGGGAGATGTGAAGTCGAAGCGGTGCTTGGTTAGAGGGTGTTTCCAGCATCTGAAGGCCAACTCTACCTGTTTCAAAGGCCACGGTTCGGCACAGCAGAGGGGGGCTGAAGGGGCCGGGCCCTGCCTTGTTGTGGGCTCTGAGCTGAACTTCATAAGCTGTGCTGTGATTGAGGCCCAGGATTGTGTAGCGAGATTGGCTCGCCGGCAGCGTGACCACACGTGGGGGAGCGCGGAGGGCGGGTAATGAAAAGGGGCCTGGAACGCTTGAGGGTTTGGAGCCTGCAGTCTCTTTGTAAGCTATGTTGTACTCTGTGATGACGCCATTGCTCTCCTCTTGGTCAGGAGGGAGCCAGGAGAACTGGAGGGAGCAGCAAGTGGCGTTAACAAAGTCAGATATTTTGGGGTATCCTGAGGGTGGGATGACGGGTACGCTTATTTCCCTCCGCACTACATCTCCGTAGCCCGCTCGGCTCTTTGCGGAGAGCACAAAGACGTAGGTGGAGCCCGGGGAGAGGTTTATGACGGTGAAGTTTCTCTCTTTTGTGAAATCTATCGTGGTCTCCAGGGAGGCATTCTTCAGGCCAAACTGGAGGCGGTAGCCTTGAATTTCCAAAGGGAGCCCCTGGCCATCAGAGCCTGACGCTGCGCATTCCGGTGGAGGAGCCCATCGAAGCACCACTGATGGACCTAATCCCAAATGTGCCCACAAACAGGGAGGGCCGGGTACTGCAAATGACAATGCGGGGGAAGGCAGAAAGTTAGTTTGAATCATCAATTTAACGACCTAAAAAGCATTGAAATTAATTTGGCTGCTGCGGCGGAAGTTGAAATTCCCTGTAGAGTACGTATGCTGCTACATTCTGAAGCAACTACTCGGCATGTACTTACCCA